CTAGCTGATGAGGTGTAATAAGTCAGAAACGGTCATTACAGTCTAGCTGCCAGTTATGTGAATGTCTTCCTGTCTCTAACATCCTAGCAGTGGAGCGGCTGCTGGACACGCTGGGGCCCCAAAACGCAATGCAACTGCTACTTGTATTTAATTGGCCTAATTTGCATGGTAGAATTTGTGCTGGTGGTGCTACGGGAAGCTACTGTACTGATAAAAGTCTGACGAGAAAAGACAAACCGGATGGCAGACAATTTGTCATCCGAGTGATACACACAACATAAACGTCGGGAGTATTCGCATTGTTGAATAGGTTCCCCCTCTGTGCGGCTGGTGGTGGGTTTCGAGATCGAGGCGAAAGGCAGAACTAGAGAGGTGAACATTCAACGAGTTCCAAGGGAGTGGAGACGTTTGGCCAAAAGCTTCAATGGTTGGAAGCAATTCACGCACGGATACAAATATTGGACCTCTTTTTACACGCTAAACTTTGTCCCAGAGTGCTCTATAATTCACCGGGCACTTTTTCCAGTTTTTTTTTGCTTTCTCCAGTGAACCGTCGCTTGGATCATGTGCTCTAGCCTAAGACGTGCTCGTTTTTCAGATTGATTTTTTGAAAAAATCTTATTTTTATTTTTATGCAATAGTCGTTTTTATCTTTAAAGAGCCGCCGGAAGCGGATAGTAGACAGTCGCCAATTTTTTAGCATCCGTTTGCTTGTTTATTTTGTCTATCGCTTAAGGTTCTCTGACTGTCGCCACAATGTTCCGTACCTAGATTTATCGCTAACAGCGCGCACTTACAGATGAAATTGTTGGCGTTAGAACCTATTATTAATCACCAGGCCTTTTCACTGTGGAAAATGAAAGTGTGTTAGGCCCTATAAAATTCATATCTTTTATACCCTGACACTCTATTTATCAACGGCTAATTGTTGTTGAAAATTTTTGTAGAACATCTATTTTAAAACTTAGTGGTCATTCCAGTCAACTCTGTCTTTGTGGTAACGTTTTCCTGTCGAAAATATACGGACAGTTGCGTAGCTGCTAGCGGGGTTTTAAATTCAGCTCAAAAGCTCGGGCAATGTACCTGATCGCAACTGACAGACCAACGAGCCTGCGGCTTGATGCAAATGGGCGTTATACTTCTAACCAACAGGTCTCGGTTCCCAGTGGTGCTCTACCTGCAGCTGGGTATGACAGGCTGATGACTTGTAATAAGCCAGACAAGGCCACTCCAATCTCCACTATGTAAGTTCTTTGTGTGTAGCTTTATTCCGTCTATATCATTAGCAACTTTGACGGGACTCTCGAGTGAACCCTAAAGCGGAACGGGATGAATGAGGCCCGTAAAGGAGCGGTAAGAGCCTTTGCGTAAATTTTAATATCCTTGATCGACACCACCAAGAAACCGAGCCCGTGGCTCAATGGGTTGGAGAGTTGTTCTCCTAACCAAGGGGATTCTGGTCGACTGGATTGTGCGCTGTAAATTATGATCTGGGGATTGACAGATAGCACTGCCGGCAAAAACAAGGAAGACTGCGGTCGCCGTTTCTGGCTCATTGGCCGTCGTCAGAAAGCCATACCCAGCCCTAAATGTTGCCCCACCCGAAGCTCGAACTCGCGACCCGTTTGATCAGAAGTCTAATGCTCTAACCGCTGAGTCACGGTCTTCCTGTCCTGTCGGCTTAGCTCAGTAGATATCGACGGTCGTTGATGAACGCTCACTGACAGTTTACGGAACTAATTCGTCCCGCAATCTGCCTTGGGGCTCCTTATCGCGCCCCGCCATCAGCCGCACTGCGGCTAGCGGTGTAAGCAGATGAACATTTTCTGATGGCTTTCAGACTGGTTTCTCGAAAACAACCCAGTTTGTTGTTTATGCAATAGTTGTTTTATTGTTACGAAACCACAGGAAGCAGGTGGCAGAGTCACGAATTTTTTGTCATTCTACTGTTTATGTTTATATTAACTAAGGCACTCTGAGTGTCGCCAACTTGTCCCGAACGTGCATGTTTCACTCATTAATTATTTTTTAAATATTGCAGCACTTTGTTTAGGTCGCAGTGCTGGCATTTTAGCTCACTATTAACCAGCAGGCTGTTTCATTGTGGAAAGTAAAATGAGATCTGTGAACGTGTCTCATACAATTCACGTCTTTTATGCCAGGGCAATCTTATTCGTAAAGTCTGTACTTCCAACTTATCAACAGTTACTTGTTCTCTGAACCAAATCTCTAACCGTGTTACTAAGTTTAAAACTTCTTACGCCAGAATAACAATGCTGATAGTGAATATAAATGCCCTAAAATGTGTTAAAATGGACAAAGATTGAAAACAAATGGACATTGAATGTTGCAGAGTATCACAACACTGACATGACCATATCCTGTTTCAAACTGTCCCACACAGATGACTCTTTCTAAAACCCACGCAATCAGTAGTAAACATTCTGTGTTTTTCTTCTGTTAGTAGAATCATTTAACATTGAGTAGAGAATCCTGCAAGACAAAAATAATAATTAATCGAATGCAGTCCCTTTCTGTGTGGGTAAATTTTTAATTGATTTGTTTTAAGGACTTTGTTAATCCCCACTCCTAGATTATTATCGAAGCCCGTCGCACTGATATATTCAATGGTACTCTCTGTATATAGCTCGTTATTGTCCTTTACTGAAGACTCCTTCCATTCGTTTTGTTTCCTTTATAGTAAAGCACCTGAGAACTCATAGAATATGTACATGATTATTTTATGAACAAATCAAAATATATGTGATCACTTATTTGAACGTATATCTGAATAAACAGTTCACTCATTCCCGTTTTGCATCCAACAGGCCTTTCAAAAGCCGTCTAAAGAAGTGGACTGGTTTATATGGGAGCGCATAGTTGTAAAACGATTGCTAACTCAAAGAGCTCGACAAACCTGTGAAAGTGGGGCAGGTCACGCCTCGAAAACGATGCTCATCAACAAGCTGGTTTCGAGCCTGAGGGCAGCTGTCACTGACGACTCTTTGACCGGCTGACAGATATGGCAAACTCTCTCACACTAAACGACATTTGGCGCGGAAAGTTACATAGGTCACAGCACCTCTGTCTACTTAATGAAATACCTTGCACCCCGCTCGCTGGTTCCAAAGTAAATTTTTCTTCGACGCGAACTTTACCTTTTAGATTCTTTTAAAATTCGTGGAGTCAGGCAGCCTCTCGCAAAAAGATGTCATCAAGGCCCCGTTGACCGTCGTGCCCGCAGTTGACGCTAATCGTCTGCTGACAGAGATTACAAATTCTCTCACGCTAGATGAAAATTGACACGGAAAGCCAAATTTTGCAGAAGAAGTCTGCTCAATTAAATATTTGTAGGCCGCGAACTTCACCCTCTATCTTTCAACTTTTTACTTCTACGGATGTAGACCCAAGCAAATATGAATGAATGGCCAAAATGCATCATCAGCTGCGGGTCTACACCGTTAGACCCTTAAATATAGTGATTTTATTCCAATTCCGAAATAAATTTCTAACAGAAATTAGAAAGCCCAGATATCAAAACCGGAATTTCTGCCAGAGAGCCCGCAGGGAATGCTTCGGGGACACTCTGCTGAGCCGGACCTCTCGCAGCTGTGTCAAGCAGCGGCAGAATACCAGCGAAACACTGTCTGGGTGTTTATCTACTACCTCTGCTGCCAGTATGATCAGTAAGTACCACCTAGATTCCTTGCTACTTTTTTGTGATCGTTCATGCAAAGCAAAACTCTGCGGCCGGACAGTAGGATACAGGCGGTTTTACACTAAATTTCAAAGCCTACGGTTAGGGTTACAGAGAGGGATGTGGATAGAAGTGAGCAGACGTGTTCTAGGAAGCAGTTCAGCACGAAAAGATGTGATTGCTGGAACATGGCGTTTATTGGCCCGGCATTTCGGATTTTCGCTCGAACCCATCATCAGAGACACAGTTACAGATAAGGCTGATGGGGCGCCAGGGAGGCAGTATTTATAGGACTCAGTTGCCATAGTAAAACAGGCCTAATCCAATTAGCAGAACCCGCGTTCATCGCTGGTAATTGTACATGTCACGATGATCGCTCGCTAGTGAGTGTTCGAGTCGTTCATTGTGTACATTTCACCACCGTTTTTCCAATTCTTCGAGTGAGAAACGTCAGGCCAATAAACCTCCTGTTTTAGCGATGGAATCTTACTTTTATGTTGTAGTCGTCGTGGCTACAAATTAAGCCTTCTTGAAATTTTATACTTCAAGAAAGTTTAGCTTTCGTACATACAAACAGCGCACGTTGACCTGGAAGTTCACTATGAGGCCATCCGATCAAAGTAGACCGATTGACATCCACCTTAACAATACAAGCTTCCTACGCATGTTTGGACATGCTAAACATCACCTTTACACCATTCTCTCCCCATGACACAGTGAATCACATCGGAGACTCAAATCCACTTCGTCTCACCTCTGATGGTCACCACAATACGTTGCATACCTACCCCTCACAAAACCCTTCTACCCTTCTCTCTGTCTGCGTCCTTAAACACCAGTGTGAGACAAACAAACCTCTCACTTTTCAGTTTGTCCGATGATGAGCAAGTGTTGCCTGCCTAGCATTTTACGTGTAAATCCGACGATTCATAATAAGTTTCACACTATGACGACTTTAAGACCACGCGTCTTGAGTTTCGTGGTACCCACTTCCTTTTTTTAACGTTATGACCACTAAACTACTGGTTGACGCATTCTTCAGTATACTCCGGGGAACAGGACAGTCACATAAACCGGCAAAGTGGGGAACTCACCACCTACATCCTTCTCCGCCATGTTCTTCTCCAATTCTTTTGTCTTGGGTGGGCAGATCATCATGCTTGCTGGTGGCTCCTGTTGACTGAACTGCTCACTGCTCTCTGTGTCAGCTCTTGACTCCACCTGACGCGGCATTTGACCCTGTCCGACGGCAAGGACATACTGTCTAGAGGTGGGGGTCGACGAACGCAGCTTCCCACAGTACTGTAAGTTGCTGGGCAGATGCGGCTGAGA